AGCCAGATGTTCAAGTGGGGTTTGTTTTATCGTCCTTCATCTATCCTGGGTAACTCATTATGTTGTAGAACCCATAGTAGCCAGATGTTCAAGTGGGGTTTGTTTTATCGTCCTTCATCTATCCTGGGTAACTCATTATGTTGTAGAACCCATAGTAGCCAGATGTTCAAGTGGGGTTTGTTTTATCGTCCTTCATCTATCCTGGATAACTCATTATGTTGTAGAACCCATGAGTAGCCAGATGTTCAAGTGGGGTTTGTTTTTTCTGAACAGAAAATTGTCAGTTTCTCTTTTAGCACGAGCTTTGTTCCCAAAAAAAACATATCGACTAGCTTGGATGAATTTGTAATGGCTCTTGTCACATAGTTACAAAAGCTGGTAGCTTGTGATAGTTATGGGACATTGTCTGCTTTCTGCATGTTATTATTCAATGTTTTTTGGTGCATTATTTAATTAGTATAAAAATTTTGAAACAAAAATGTTTGATAGCTGAATATACACTGAAAATGTGATGTATAAAAGCTATGTACAGCAAAAAACAACTTCTGTGTAAGATTGAAGCAAAAAATATTAAACATTCAACAGCCGAGTATAAACAAGTTTATACGTAACTTATAACTTAAGACAAGTACAGTATATGTAGACTAGTATATCCTCCGTACCTGATACTGAATGGCCAAATGGGCAAGACTATGTCCAACATCTAATGTCAAAGGTCTGGCTAGTAGTGTTACTTCAGTTGCTGTCAGTTTGCGTGCAGGATCTCCTCCTATTGCCAGATAATGTATGACAGAATTTGGATTACCTTCCAGAACACCAACACAAGCATTCAACCAAGCTTTGTCCATTTCTCTGGCATTACATCGTAATTGCCGTAACCTCCACCCTTCCAAGTAGTTGTTTGATGCTGGAGTACAACTACTAATACTTGCAAGTGCTCCAGAATTCTACCAAAATAATTATATTAACAAAAAATTATTGACTAAATAGAGAAAGATATCAACACATCATAAACCATAATTCATCAATTTAATTTTATATTAAAAATATATTCAAAGGAATGTTTGTGTAAAAAAAAGATTGTTTGTATCCTTGGGATGAACATCATTAAACATTAAATTTGTGTTGAATTGTTTAGGATCAACATTACTAAGTGGCATAAATTAGCACAATGACTTTATAAATAAATCGTAGCAGAACACACTAACCTCAAAATATGTAACATGCCAGTTGAAGGTTAACATTTCATTGATCTTATATATACCTGTTCTTAGTTAGAACATACCAAAAAATACAGGTATTATATGAAGAACAAGGGAACAAAATCGGAAAAGTGCACCCCCTAGTAGGCTGGAAGTCGCTGGGACCATTGGTGTCAACAAGTACCACAGCATGCGAAATGATGAACCCCTGAACAGGCAATGGATGGGAGTGGGAGGTTAAAGGATGGATAACAGGTATAGAGGATGGAGCATGCTGAGACAAATGAGCAACTAAAGTGAAAGGGTTGAGTGTTGCCTTACAGATTCCACACACGTGACACCAAACATTCAGGAATATCTTCAAAAACAGACCTAAGAAAAAAAAGGAGTCATCCTCAAGTCACAATAATATGTGTATGGTAGACAAAGTTGAGACAAGACAGCGTCCCTGTCAAGGAGATTCCAACAGCAAAGAAACCACGTGAAAAGGGATAAAACCGAGGAGGATAATTGTGCCAACGTGGAGATAATGAGAGAACAGGTATCCTCTGTAAAACCCCTCAGCAGATCAGTGGAGAGCCTTAGAAAGGTGGTGTATGGATGAAAGGTACTGTAGGAGAGATGTAAGGGTAAGACTGGGAAAACTGGGCTTGGGATAAACATATAGGATTCTCAGGATGCTTGGAGTCGAGAAAGGGATTATCGGCCTGATGGCAAGACAATGCATAGTAATATGAGAACCTTGGTGGATGAAGCCCTCAACTGAAAAATGAAATGGTCAGCATGTACCATGATATTTGAAGGAGGGAAGAAAAGGTAATCAGATGATGGGGCAGTGCATAACAGGGAATGGTCAGGATCATACAAAATGAGGTTACATATAAAACGTAACAAACCCAAGAAATCATATCCAAAATGGCTGAGGAAAGCCTGGCAGATTCCTGAGGAAAAGTATGGGCATGCACAGCATCGGTAGGAGGTGGAAAAAGGCTGTCAAAATCATCCTCATCATGAACAGGTTCTATAGGGACAGGAGGAGCCTGAGTACTGTCAGGAAAAGATGGCCAATTCATGTAAAGGTCAATCTCTCTATGATGGCAGAAAAATCCTCAGCCAAAACCCCTGCTCCTGAAGCCTGTATCATGACATTTGAAGTAGTAGTAATGGTAGCTGAAGTCATGACACAGAGTTCATAATTGACTGTGAAAAAGTCAAATTCCAAGAAAAAGTATTCCTGGAAACAAAATGCCAAACCAAAGGTAAGTTTACTTCGCAATAAACTACAGTAAACAAACCGAAGAAACAAAGAACCAGACGAAACATTAAAGCACTACTTCAAAGAAAAAAAGAAGAAATCACATCAATCAGCACAAGTTCAAAATGTCTGCACTAGACAACTGCCTAATGAGAAGTGATGGTTAGGTAGAATTGAATAGAGTAAGTAATGTGCATCACATTCTTATTGGCGAAGGGTTGTTAGATAATTTACTCGCGAAGACACAGTGAACTGTGTTGATTGTGGGGTAGGTGGGAGTTTAAAGGCTAGTGGCATGGGAAAAACATTTGCATGTAGAGAGTAGCACTGAATGAGAAAATCTATTACATGAGAAGAGGTAAAGTACTATATTAAAAATACACTACATATTTCTATAATTATAAAATACCTACTTTCTTGCCTTTTGAAAGATTTCTCAAAACTATGTTGATTGTGGGGTGTGTGGGGGTTTAAAGGTTAGTGGCATGTAAAAAAATTTTGCATATAGAGGGTAGCACTGAACAAGAAAAGCCATTACGTGAGAAGAGGTAAAGTACTATATTAAAAATACACTACATATTTCTATAATTATAAAATACCTACTTTCTTGCCTTTTGAAAGATTTCTCAAAACTTTATATTAGTAACAACTTTATACCTCGACTATTTGATACACACAATCAGCTCTATTTCCTTACCTGTAGGCAGCCAGCCTCTGAACTTCTACTCAAGCCAATGTGTATTACACCACTTGGTGGGTTGCTTCTAACATTTGGAGAAATTCGTGGTGGTGCAACAGGTTCTTGGCTGGTGGAAGATGGAGGTGTATATTTTCCAACTTCAAATTCTTCAGAACCATAAGTTGCACAAGCTATCTCAGGTTTGGCATGACTTGTATGACATATAACACACTGCAGAAAGTAGTTTTTAATTAATAAAAATTATTACACATTAACACCAGATTTTTACATCCAGATACAAAAACATACAAACATTTTATATTTTGCACCTCCTGAAAAAGTAAAATAAATACTATGGAAATCTTTTAAGGAAGAGAGCTTAATAATGTGGTATCACTAACAAAATCTCACAAGTAACTCAAACTCAAACATAATAAATTCAAGAAATTTAAACTTACTGGAAATAATAAGGACTTGAAAGAAATCAAGAGAGCTGATTAAAAAGGAAGTTAAAAGGGCAAAAACCATATATGAAAGAGGGTTGGCTGAGAGAGTTAAATTAAACAATCAGAAATTCTTTAGGCATATGATGGGTGAGCAATATGTTAAGATGGGGATTGGGTCTCTTACAAATGATAGTGGGGAGGTGATCTCGGAAGATTATGAGATGGTAAACTTATTAAATTATATGTTCTCTTCAGTTTTTATGAAGGAAGATACAAGTATTATGCCTCAACCAGAGCACTTAATGATGTAAAAGATATCATTTGAAGTTCTGAAACTTTATGAGAAAAGTTGGGAAACCTAAAAAATAATAAACCCCCTGTACCAGACAACTTTTATCCCAGAGTTTTAAAGGAACTTAAAGATTTTATTTGTGAACTGCTAGCCAGTATTTGTTATAGGCCACTGAGTAGTGGAAGGGTATTAGAAGATTGTAAGTTGGCTAATCTTAAGTCTAATATTTAAAGGAGGTGATAAACATTGTCCAGGAAATTATAGGCCAGTTAGTCTTACATCAGTAGTTGGAAAGGTTTTGGAGGGTGTAATTAAAGATGCATTGCAGAGTCACTTAAAGCAGTTTGATATAGTGTCAAAGAGCCAGCATGGTTTCACTAAGGGAAAGTCTTGTTTAACAAATCTTCTGATATTCTTTGAGGATGTTACTGCAAAAGTTGATGAAGGAAATACTGTGGATTTGGTTTACCTTGATTCTCAATATGGTGCCTCACAAAAGACTTGTTACAAAAATTAAATCTGTGGGTATGGGGTAAATGTTATTAAACATGGATAGAAAATTGGCTGGAGAGTATTAATATATGGAGTTAGATCTGACTGGATTATAGTTACAAGTGGTGTGGCTCAGGGATCTGTGCTGGGTCCTTTGCTGTTTGTAATTTACGTTAATGATACTGACTCTGGAATGACTAAAAAATTTTGAAGTTTGCAGATGACATTAAGATTTTTGGGGTGGCTAACTGTATCAAAGATGCTGCAGACTTACAAAGAGATTTGGATCATTTGATGCATTAGGCTAATACGTGTCAGATGATTCAGGATTTTTTTAAATATTGCTTTATAAAATTAAGAACTTAAAATTTAGATACTATTAAAATATGGATTATTAGCTAAGATTTTATGCTATACTAATTGGTATAACATAAACAAAAAATAGTTTACTTAAAATTCAAATGTAAGTCACTAAAACCTCATGACATGCGCAGTAAATGATGCCTGGGCAGAGAAGGTTAAGGCTCCAGAAATGGACTGAAATGTTCAGGAAAATAAATATTTTTTTTTCAGTGTAAAACTGTTGCCCAAGAGGTATAAAAAACATGTAGTCTTTCAGATATTTGAAATTTTGTTTTGTAAGACTTGCATAATGATGTGTCTACATGTCAACTGGAATGAAACTAACACAATTATCCTAAGGCAGATTAAAAACAAGCAATACTTATTTAAATTTCAACTTTCAAGTATGTGCATTTGAAAGATACTTTTAGTTTAACAGCATCTGGACAACACTCATGATTGAACATACCTTCTGTGCTTTGGGCCAGTTTTCATATGTACAGGCGTGGCATGTCCATTTCATTGAATACGTTGCACACTTGTTTCTGTCATTCTGTAGATGGCCATCACATGGTTCCAAGCAAGACTTGTAATTTGAAGGCTGGCCACGTGCTGTGTCACAAACTGGACTGGTGTGATGAGGTGTTGAAGTGCAGATTCGTGGTGTCAGGCACTGCGTACATTTTGTAGACTTTGGCCAATTAAGAAAAGTACATGTACTACATGACCATTTGTTGAAAGGGTTGGATGCTGATGTACTGAAGGCACTGCTGCTTTTGCCACTAGTGTCTGTAACCAATGGTGTTATCTACTGAAACAAGTACGACATTAAATAAAACGCATTATGAAACAAGTCACATAACAAACATTAAATTGAACCACTGCAAATATTACTGTGACATCAGTCTGATCACTTCCATAAACAATGTTACACCCAATAGCTAATCCTAAGTAGTTCCAGATAAATCTATGTGTGATAAGATTACAAAATATTTTAATTTTTAAAATGCTAATAATGAAGATGTTTTGGATGTGCATACTGGAAAAAGTAACAGAATTATACACCAACATATTCAACCATCGCCAAGAAACAAGCTAGCAGGTAACTCTACACCATTCCAAAAACATGGGGAAGTTGCTGTGACTGCTCTGTCTTCTCGAAATAGAGCATAAGTAGAGTAAAGACCAACATAGCAAATCAATAGGAACACTGAAACAGTTGTGTATGACTACCAGCTACAGGACAACACTGTGGTTACAGGTAAGGTGGTCAGTTGCTATCAGATACATGACAGCAATGAGGTTACAGGTAGGGTGGCCAGTTGCTATCAGATACATGACAGCAATGTGGTTACAGGTAGGGTGGTCAGTTGCTATCAGATACAGGACAGCAATGTGGTAACAGGTAGGGTGGTCAGTTCATTACCAAATACAATAAAGCAATGTGGTTACAGGTAGGGTGGTCAGTTGCTATCTGATGAAGGACAGCAATGTGGTAACAGGTAAGGTGGTCAGTTGATTACCAAATACAATAAAGCAATGTGGTTACAGGTAGGGTGGTCAGTTGCTATCAGATACAGGATAGCAATGTGGTTACAGGTAGGGTAGTCAGTTGCTATCAGATACAGGACAGCAATGTGGTAACAGGTAGGGTCGACAGTTGACTACCAAATACAAGAAAGCATTGTGGTTACAGGTAGTGGTCAACTGACTACCAGCTACAGGAGAACAATGTGGTTACAGGTAAGGTGGTCAGTTGCTATCAGATACAGAACAGCAATGTGGTAACAGGTAGGGTGGACAGTTGACTACCAAATACAAGAAAGCATTGTGGTTACAGGTAGTGGTCAACTGACTACCAGCTACAGGAGAACAATGTGGTTACAGGTAGGATGGTCAGTTGACTACCAGGTACAGCAGAACACTGTGGTAACAGATAAGTGTCGATGACGCTTAACCCTACTTGTTATATTAATGGTAGTAATGCACTAAATAATTTTTATGTAATTAAATAATATTCTGAGCACGAAATCACTTTTTGCTCAGAATGATTTAGTAAAGGCTTTATATGTTCACAGACATGTCTTTAGTAAAAATACTTTATTACAAAATCTGATTTTTTTTTCTGTACAACAGACTTGTAATGTTTACTAAAAGTTTGCTGAATTTTGTGAAATATATCGAGTAAATTCAGAGTTTGAGTATGTAGTTTTATGGCAGTAACAAAGTTGGTAAAAATGACCAAACCTATTTATATAGAGCTAAATAAAGATTGTTTTATACTTTCCATAACATGTCAAGTCTACCCAGTTTCTTATCTTCAATTCAGATATACTCTGTAATTATTCTGTACAAATCTTGCATTATAAATTAGACCTATCTGATACCTAATCAGTAATTAGTTCATACTCAGAATACAACAGTATTAATGTAAGTCACATCAAACGTACAGTATGCTCTCCAGCTGTTTCAACAACAGACTCCAGACTAGATGCAACATGACAGACAGCAGCACGAAGCATATCTTGTACTCAAGTATTAATATTGGACAGTTGTTACATCCTACAAATCACAGAGAGAATGAATGGGCTATAACATCAAATTCACACTCAATTCTTAATGACCTGACAATATAGGCAAATATTATTTTAAAGTTATCTTGCAGTACGTACTAAATTTGTTGTCATAAATGTGTTTGAAACACACTTAATGCACTGTATGAAACAACAAAGCTGTTAGTTGTATACTACTCACACCAACTATATGCCTATACCCAAAGTTAAACCAATTCTTTATTGTAAAACTTTTCCTTTCATTACTTTTCCAAAACAAGACAACTGGGACTTACAAAGAAAGTACAGAGCAAATAAACACAAAAAATTATTAAGGGACTTTACATTAAATCATGGGCTACTGTTTATTTCTTCTGTTTTTAACCAGACAACCCCTTTACAGAGTTCGTACTTCAGCCTCACTGTATAAACCATTTAAGAAAGACAAGTGTGAGTTTACGCGTCAAACCTACTTAGCTGTACTTCAATGTACCTTTAGCAGCTTGTCTTACTTTAGACTAGTAAAGTAACCAATTAATTTTACTATGGGGAAATAAATTACATACACAGTTATCTCTTCCATACCTTGAAAATGTCTCTTTCTTGTGATGGTTCATCAGTGATAATGTGGCTTGACTTTGCTGCCAGACATATTGTACATTTCTGGGCTTTGGGCCAGTTCTCATAAGTACAAAATGGACAAGCCCATTTTTCATCTTTCTGGTTCATTGTACCCGAGAGGGTCCAATATCAGATCAGATTCTGCCACTTGCAACCATCCTTTGATTTCAATGCTGTTAAACAAAGAAAATACATTTCATTTATGCAGTCAGTTCTTTCAAAGGAGAGCAGAAATATTTGACTTGTCTAATTATGTAAGTTATTAACAATTCAATGAATAATAATAAACATCTGCCTGTCGAAAGTTTAGAACCAGAGAAATTAGTAAAAACTGTAATACTAGAGTAAATTTTTCAATGTCTTTTTCATTAAAATTTGGGTATCGGAATGGCACTTTCTGATCATTCTTACAATATTAAAAACATAGAATACATGTTTGATGACGAGGAACCCACTTTGAGACTAATAATGGTTGGAGATGGCTTGAATGGGTAATGAAGAAAAACTTTAATATAAGTTTAACATAACAGCAAATGTACAACGTTCCGACAAGGTTTTGTCATCATCAGGTACAAGTAGTTTACACTGACACGGATATATATATATATACAGTATTGAACAACAGTATTCGTGTCAGTGTAATTACTTGTACCTGATGATGACAAAACCTTGTCGAAACGTTGT